CCATCCCCCACTTTATATGCTTTCAGCATATAATCTCCAGTTGATGGTATTTGGAAGTGGAGCCTTTGGGAGGCGATTATGTCATGAAGCCTACTTAGGTCATTAAAATTCTCATGAATGGAGTTAGTTCTCTGATCAACAGAGACCTGAGAGTGGTCTCTTCCCGGTTCCACCATGAGAGGACACAGTGGGAAGGCACACTCTATGAACCAGGAAATGGGCCTTCCCAGACACCAGACCTGTCAGTCTGCTGGTACCTTTATTTTGGACTTCCCAGCCTCCAGAACTGATAAAAATAAGTTTCTGTTGCTTTAAGCCATCCAGTGTTTGGTTTTTGTTATAGCTGCATGAATGGACCCAGACAGGACGGAAATAAAGGAAGAAACTAGGCAGCTATTCTTCTTGATAGATATCATGACAGGAAATTCTGTAGAACCCTCTGTTCAGGGTAATGATAGACCAAGTGGTAGTATCCATTACTACAAATCACAGGAGGGGTGTCATGGAGAGATTCAAGTATAGTCTCGTATACAATAAGTAGCAAACCAATATGTACAAGAGTCATCTGAGATAGGGCAGTCAGGAGCTTAAGAAAAGAGCTTAGACTCAGTCACATAACTTCACTGGAGTAGTTGACAAGCTAAATAGAAAACTTAATATGAACAAGCTGGTCTTAGGCTGACTGGCTTCACCAAGGGGAGAAGAAGTATACAAAATGTGGGAGAAGGTAATACATTTGTATAACATACATGGATAGGAAGTGCAGGAGAGAAAATTGAAGCAAATAGAGGAGAAGCAATAATCAAGGATCATGGAGAAGACGTCATGGCTCTGAGTACTGGGCAAAATCCAGGAGGAAACTGCATATATATTCTTCACAAATTTTTGAAATTCAGTTTTCTTGTTTCAGAAAAAAATGCAAAATTATGTGTACTTCAGATAAGTCTTTTGAATGTCAGAAATCACTAGCAAATAGAGGTGTTGGCATGAGTGTGGAGCATGGAGGCAGAGAGAAAAGCATTTGTAAAGACACAGAAGTATTGATAGAGCTTGGCATATCCAAGTGACAACAAGTAGGTTAGTGTTCTTGGAGTCTAGAGGACATGTTTGGGCATGTCAAATGATGCTGGAGACAAAAACAGGATTAAAATAGCAAAGGGTGTTATATGTAATACTAAGGAGACAGGACTTTATTTTGTAAGATCTTGGGAAAATATTTCAGTTTTTTACATGACCCAAATTTTATTATGGGAAAATTGTCCTACATTCTGTAATTCTGGAGTGGAGGGAAACTGAATATAGGGGAATTAGTGAGGAGTCTTAATAGTTGGGTTCTCAGCTTATAGGACTGAGTTAATAAATGGTAGAGGGTAGAGAGTGTAGGAATCAGATTGAAGGGATATTTATTTGGTAGAATTAAGTGACTTATTGGATAGAAAGGGATGTGAGAGAAAGAGAAATGTAGGTTTATTACTTGGTTGACAAGATGAAGAATAGTTTCAGTGACTATATAGGTGATACAATATGAGATGTGGATTGATTCCAGCGGGGAGATAATTATTTCACTTTTTGACATATAAGTAGAGAAATAGAATTTATAGGTCTGTAATTTAAGAAAGAATTCCTGGCAGGAGATATAGCTATGTGGCTAATCTATTTGTGAGGCAGTAAGTTGCAGCAATGAAGGAGATCATTCCAGGAGAGGTAGCAAAGAGAGATGAAAAAGGAAGAGCCTAAGTTATCCCAGTGTTCAAATTATTTGCAGAAAAGGAGCTAGCAAAACAGACCGAGAAATAAAAAGATAGAAAACTTAGGAGTGTGATGTCATTGCAGCCCAATAAAATAATTGAGTTATAAGAATAAATTGATTGACATTATCAAAGCTTGGAGGCCATCAATGATGACTACTTAGTGATTTAATAGTCTACTGATAATTAAATGCCATTTATAGACCAGATAGCTCACGAAGTTCTAAATATATAGGATGAATAGTTAATAATTGCATTATCATATAAGCTTGTCACGAAAAAAGACCTTGGTATAGAGAGACTTTATTCAACAGATGTATTGCAAGTGAAGGAAAGGGGCTATTGGGTTAGGCAGAGGGAACTACTGCAATAGAATGCTCTGATCATAAGATCTGTGAGTGTGTTAAGCATTAGGAAAGAGTTTTTTTTCTTCTAGGGGGGAAAAAATAAGGCTAGAACGACCTGGCTATGGAGAAGTGGGATGTAGAAAAGTGGCGTGACCCGACCATAGATCAACAGATGTTGTACCTGAGGCGAGCATGTTCTCAGGAGAGGCTGTTAGGAGAGGCTGCAGGCTGGCTCGGGCTCAGGGTGGGCCAAAGATCAGGGGCCCAGGGGAAGGACGGACACTAGAGCAAGTTTTGTCTGATAAGTGTTTTGTTCCAATTGCTCAGTGGAGGCAAAATATTTCCACTAATCAATAAAGAGGCAAAGCATGGGCATTTGGAAGGTATGTGTCAGACCTCGCAGGTAAGTAGGAGGGACGTCTTTGAATGCTAAGTCAGTCACAAGGGGAGGATACTTCCTCGCACTAAGTCATTTCCTGAACCAAAGCGGCGAGGAGATTCTTAACTTTCACTGTTTTCCAGGAACACAGACAGAGCTCAAGTAAAATTCTCCACTGTTGTCACACAAGAAAGTGTGACAAATGAGCTGTTGGCACAGGGTAATGTTATAGGAGGACCCTGAGCTCAGATCAGTGTCAAGAAAGTCTTCTTGGAGGGAGACACTGAGTCACCAAAAGACTAAAATATTGAGACAAGTAATTGAGAAGGCTGTTACAGACAGGGAAACGGCATCTTTAAAAAGTATTGAAGTTTGATGACCAGATAATTTTCAGGGGCGCAGTTGGTCGGATATTGCCAAAGTGAAAGGTCTTCTCTGAAGGGTGAAGGGAGAGGAGGTGGAGGAGGCAGGCAGGGGTGAGGGTCTAGACCAAAGAGGACTCCGCGTGCCCGCTCGAGGAGCTCGAGGGCGGTCTTCCCGTGGTGTGCCGGCGAACTCCATTAGGCAAGAAGGCCGCACGATCAGATGCGCTTTTCGCAATGCTCACTCGAGCCGCAGTGCATCTTGCGGTGTGGAAGGAGCTGGGGAATAGGAATGAATTCAGATGTCAGATAGGAGGGCTTTTGCGAGTTGAGGGAGTAGGGGTAAGCATGTGTAAAGCGATGGCCCACACGTAAAGAAACGGAGGGGTCAGACAGATGCTGGGGATGCTGAGTCTACTGAATCTAGCAGAGTTTGCGTGGAAGGAAACGTAAGTCAAAGAGTTCCCGAGTTTCTGGTTTCCCTCACCGCGGGCAGCAGTACCATCTGCTAAGGGTGACCGTATGAGAAAGGGGGGGCAAGAGGTGGGCTTGAGGCGGTTGAGTGGGCTTGGATATTGGTTTGGCCCTGTCGCTGTGCGGCGCAACAGAGGTCAGGCCTCAAGACAGAAATCCGAGAGTCATGGCACCCGGGGGGGTGCCAAGGCTATGGATCTGGATGCGATCACTTGGAAAGTGTGTATAGATTTGAGAAAGGCGTAAAGAAGCCGGGCTCGGCGGCTCAGCCAGTCATCCCGCGTCTTGGGAGGCTGAGGTGAGCGGACTGCCTGAGCCCGCGGGCTCGCGACCCGCCTGGGCAACTTGGCGAGACCTCATCTCTACAGTCCATCAAGAAATCAGCCGGGCATGGTAGTGCATGCCTGTAGCTCCGCTACTCGCGAGGCCGAGGCGGCAGGA